TGATTAAGAAATGTTGAAAAATGAGGACAAAATAGATAATTTAAGCATTTTATTTGTCTTCCGCCAACAAAAATAGTTCCTTCAGGACTCTGCTGTCACCGTTGCTATGTAACGCAGACATGGTGCGCCAGGCACTTACTCTTTATATACATTTATCTGCACATTTCCATTAATTGTGCAGCTGGTGAAATAAGTCTGGTGACTGCATGGTGGACTGTCGCTTCACAGGCACAGCCGACTCTGCCTTCTGATCTGACAGTATGTTGCTCCATTGTTTCCTGCTCTCCATGGATGGCTTCCAGTAACTTTTTAACGAGCTCTCACACCTGCAAGACAAAAGTTATATTTTAGGGCCCGACTCCTAATTAGAAGACTAACTTTACACATAGGCTGTGTTAAAACAACATCATACCTGTGCCCACTCACTGTCATGATCTCCCTCGCTTCAAGTCCCGCATCTGACAGCTTCTGTATGGCAGTCGCCCTGAGGCTGTGATTGGTGTAGATAGCTGTTGTCCCCGCCTCTTTACACGTCTTCGGCAGCATCTGTGAGAGTGAGTTTATTCCCAGCAGAGCTTTAGTGTACCAGATATTGTCTGTGTGAGCTACTGTCATCCTGGGCTTCAGATAAAGGGAATTTGCATCTGGTGGAAGTTTGTTTAAATACTATTCCAAGGATACAACGCAACTGCTGACCTAACTGACACTAACCGTCAGTTTTGATTTGATTGTTGATTGCAATCAGCTGTGAGGCGGAGTGATACATACACAGTGAAATAACCGTGATGTTGTACTCCACTATCATCACGGTTTTACTGTCTCTCGACCAGTCAGATTGCAGGGCCAAAACTGTTGAATAAAACATCTGTTTATCACTACCCCTGTTTACTGGCACGTCTTGTACTTGATGTTGGTTCATAGGATCAATTTTTCCACTGTGCAGTTTGTTTGTTTTTTTTGTTTTTTTTTTAACAACGGGTTTAAATTCCTAAATGTTTACAGTTATAGCATGCATGTTGCAGTCCTCAGCTGGTTTTTATTGGCTCTTTTAAATGAATTATTGTCTCTGTTTGTAACCAGGTCAGCCAGAGAGTTATTTGTTGTTTAAAATACATTTTAGGGACCTTCAAGTGTGAAATTATCCAGTAAATCATGAGATAAAACAAGAGATTAATCTAACAGCCTAAAAGCACATCTAAACCAAAACGATATTTTTCTTATAGTTTTTATAATCTTGCCGCCCTTAGATTTATCTTGCGACATCAGGAACTGCTGAACCTAACATAAATATTATGTAGAAGCAAATCAGTTCCCTCATTTTCCTGCAGCAGGCTGTTCTTCGTCAGTCCATGCACCTTTTAGAAGCAGCTTTCAGGAAGCAGAATCAACTTTTATCGTAGACATGTGAGTATGAACTGTAAAGCAGAGAGTTGGAGGCTGTATTTTGTGGCGTGGTGCATCTGTGGCCTCAGTCCAGATGCCCCGTTGTTGGACCCCTGCCTCTGCTTAATCTGTGACGTCTGCAGTCTAACCTTTGTGGCTCTGCTGTCGTCTCATCCAGAGGAGATCTTTATAAACCACATTATAAGACCCTCCTCTCCTCAGAGGGAATGGAGGCTGTGAGTCGTGGCATTTCACTTCACTGCTTCCTTTCTTTGTTGATGTTTCTGCACGAGTTGTTTTTCCTGCTAACGGGGCTTCAGGCGATCAGTGATGTGATGGTATAATTTGTATTACTGGGTTGTAAAAATCATAAAAATCTATATCATCACACACTTGGATTCTTGAGCTTAAACAACCATAATTTACTGACTGTTTTCTGAATCATAGCACATGAAGTTCCTGATAAATTTCCTACATTCCACATCAGTTTCTATTTACCTTTGCTTGTGGAAAGCTCTGAATAACGAATATCCCAGTTTGAGAGTTGAGTTGCCAGAACAACATTTATTTTACTTGCACAATAATAAGGATACAAAATACATACTCATAAATCTTCAATTAAAAGCCTGGGCTATTATTAGCTTAAATCACAGAAATCAACAGGCCTATGTTTGGGACGGATCTTTAATTCCTTTCACACAAAACTGCCAATCAGTAAATGTGGGGAAATACAATCAATTTTTTTATTTAAACCAGTATGAATATTACTTGTTTAAAAATTAGGCGCCAGATAACATTAATTATAAATCATTCATTTGATGTAGCTCCGACAGACAGCATGTCAGAGAGAGTGAGTTACTCGAGGATTACCCGGCGTACTGACGCAACACCACTTTATCCTGTTAAACCAATACTCAGAACTTGGATTAATTGTTATGAAAAACCCTTTTGATTCTTTTGATCTGAGGACCCTTACGGACTAAAGGAATATGAATAATTTACAGGTTAATCGGGGAATAGACGTAATTTGAGGGAGTCAGCAACCTGGTTTTATACATCCGAAGAACTTCTATTAAAAAAAAAATTAACTGCTTGGCAACCAGACCAGGCCTCTAATTGAGACAGGCCTTTATTTGTCAAAATGTGTAGCCACACCGGGCTAGTAAAAGGGACTGGGTGTTAAACTAGAACTGGGCTTGTAATTTAAGTTTTACAATATCTATATACACAGAACATACACCAGTAATAAAAGAAAGACAGCAAACAAAAAAACAAACCTAAGTAGATAAATAACCAACAGAAGCATTTTGCCATAAGGTCAGGATGAAATTTCTTAAACTGTGTCCTAAAAGCTTGCAAGAAAAAGAACAATTTCAGCCTGTTATTGTAGACAAGCAATAACAAACTCTTTGCTCAAAGCATGGTGGGACATTTGGTCATATATTGCAGGAAAAATGGACAATGTCTCAGATGTCAAGCGTGTCTTGAATGCTCCAAAATGAATCTGTTCGGGAGACAGAGCCTGCTCAAAACTGCATGACATCACTCCTCAAACCTAATTAAGTACACAAGGGCTGCAGAGTCACTGGTAAACAGACTATTGTGTTGTTTAGTTCACAACAAATATCCTATTTTATAAACTCTTCATAATGTTTTGTGTGTAAAAATCTTAATTTGTAAAGTAACTAAAGCTGTCAGATAAATGTAGTGATGTAGAGAGAACAATATTTCCCTCTGAGATGTAGAGGAGTAGTAGGAAGAAAATACTCTGGTTAAGTACAAGTATTTCAGATTTATACTGAAGCACAGTACTTGAGTTAATGCACTTAGTTACATCCCACCTCTGGTTGTACCGTCCACTAGATCAGTGGTTCCCAGCCTTTTTCTTTCAGGGACCCCTTTTCTATCATCGAGTCAACCGATGACTCCTGACTGACATGTTTCATGGATATTTCACATTATATTCAATACTCAACAATAACAATACAGAACAACTAATAAATTGTACAATAACCCAAGTAGTGAACACAATAATTGTAGGAAGTCTGTAAAATCAACGCGAGCAGTTATGTCAGTCGGAGGCCTCTACGTCTGGAAGACAGACAGGACAGGAGAAAACTTTTCTCTAAAAGTTTTCTTAGAAGCATATGGGAATGGTATAATTATGAGTTTTTATTTCTGGTGGAATTCACTTACATTTTAGTGTGCCATCAGCTTATTAATAGCATTTTAACCTAAACAAAGAAAAGTGTAAAATTTCTAGAAAGGTAAGTGTTGCTTTAACTGCGTACTCCTGTAATGCAGGGTGAGGCTGTTAGCAGAGTGAAGGCTCTGTGATTATAGTTTTTCACCCACCATGCCCTTATTTCTTCACAGAAATGATTTTTCAAAAGGCCCATATCTCACACCACTTACAATCAAGAAGGCTTTGTGGCCCCCAGGTTTGAAATCAGTGTCTTAGAAATTACATTTATATGCAACTTATTTGAAACAGGATGGCATGGTGGTACAGTGGTTGCCTCACAGCAAGAGGGATCCTGGTTTGAACTCAGGGGCCGGGGGAGTTTGCATTTCCTCCCCATGTTCTCCAGATACAATCCAAAGACATGCAGGTTAGGTTAATCGGTAACTCTAAATTGCCCGTAGGTGTGACTGTGAGCGTGAATGGTTGTCTGACTCAGCCCTGCAATAGTCTGGTGACCTGTCCAGGGTGTACCCAGCCAGCCTCTTGCCCAGCGTCAGCTGGGATAGGCTCCAGCCCTCCTGCGTCCCCTAACAGGACAAGCGGTTATGAAAAATGAGAGAATGAATAATTTGAAACAGCAGATATGTTTTTGAGGGAGGCATAATGCCAAGATAGTTACGATTTCTCAACGTATCAACGAAACTCAGTGTATCAGCAAAATGTTAACTGACAGTGTATTTTATTTGTTTTTTGCCACACTATCCACTTGTAGTGACTATAACATTATTTGTCTGTTATTAACTCTTTTATTAACATTTAACGTTAATCACAATCTTTCCATAAATTTAACCACAGACAGGTCACAGTCCTGCTCTTTCTATGTGCAGCGTGGTACATAACTTAAGTGTTTAGTTCAAAGTAACGTTGTCTCTGAACATCAGAGGCAGCGATTACAGTCTCACGACAGCATAATTATTAAAACACTGTCGTATTATACAGATGTAATTTCTGGGAGACAGGTTTGGTAATTATGAGTCTGAACATGCAGAACAATAGGTTTCAGTTCTTTAATGTCAGTGATGTTTAAATTGAAGAGGGAAAAAAATAATCTGCTGATTGACATGTAGGAGATGAAAAGCTTGTACATTCTGGCAAGTTTATCCAGTTTGGCAGCTGTGATGTCTTTGAGTGTAACTCTCTCCTTTGTACTTTACTATTATATAACCATCCTATCGTCCTCTTGCTGTGCAGGTGCATGCATTGATTGTTCTACAGTGTGAATCCTGCACAAGAGGAAAGCTGAACTGCACTTACACATGATCTGTCTTATGTCTGTTGGATAGGATGCTTCTGTCATGGAGGTCATGAATGTTTTGCAGATCCTGATGGGTACTCTGCACAAAAAAAAAAAAATCATTTTATTGTGTTGCAGACACTGTGTTTTTTCACCTGCCACCTCTAAACGAGGACATGAAGTGTGTCTACGGAGTTTCCTGTTATCGCCAAATAGAAGCAAAGGTCAGTCTTTTCTTCACTCTTACAGAGCCACAAAGCCTTGATTTTGTTTTCTACCCCAGTGAATATATGTGGCCAAAAATATGTAGACACCAGTGCAGGGAGAAATACTCACGATATTTTACTTTTGAAGTAAAACTAGCCGCACCACATGGTAGAAATATTCTGTTACAACTAAAAAAAATTAAAAATGTGAACTGTACAAAAGTAAAGGTACAAAAGTATTCACATCAACATATTCTCAAAGTACAGAAAGTAAAAGTACTCCAAAAAGTACTACAACCCCAAACTGTCAAAAGATTGAAGAGTAAAAGCTTAAAAGTAAGACACATTATTTAAGTTAAATTTCTTAGTTAAAAACAACTTAAAATTAAGTTAAAACAACATATATCAAACCTCTGTACAGAAAAAAAGTCATTTTTTTAATTGTCTGTTACAGTAAATAACTTTAGCAAACAAGTAGTGAAACTCACAACTCTTAACTCCATAAATATATATATATGTGTATATATATATGTGTGTATATATGTATATATACACAGATATATATGTATACACACACACACACACACACATATATATATATATGTATATATATATATACATACATACACACATATAGTTTTGGCCATGTTTACCACATGCACACAGGGCATCTTCATCTGTGTTCTTGATTTGATTAGAAGAAAAGAAAATGAAGCATCTCCTGTTTCTTTTTTTGTCTCATGACTTCAGTTTTCATGAGGTGGTCTGCAGAGCGATTCGTCATGCGGCGGTCTCACAGTGTTCGCTATGTGGGATAATAGTTATATGTTTTAAATGTCTCCTCAGGCCCTGAAGGTCCGGCAGGCTGACGTCACCAGGGAGACGGTTCAGAAGAGCGTCTGTGTCCTCAGTCGAGTGGTGAGTCAGTCACAGGACGATGCTGATTTCAGTCTCAGTAGCTTTACATGCTGTGAGTAGTGAACTCACTGACCTATGACATCACTGCGATCATGTAAGAAGTGAGAGGAGGAGGCAGGTATGGGAGCGAGGAGGCGATAAAAGAGTCAATATGGTGGGTCCCAAAAGTACCACAGAGGTTTAAATGACTTACACTCAACTTTTTAATGGTGTAAGGTAGTTTCACCACAAGACTACAGGTTTATATATGACACTGAAGTAACCATTAGATCAGGGCTGTCACACTCCTCTTAGTGTGTTATCAACGCAAAAGGCACCCTGTCTTGTCTTTATGACATGAACTGGGCTTTCAACTAACTTTAGCGTCATCCTAGGTAATACTTGAAGCTAAGAGCAAATGACGTAATATAAAGAGCGAGAGTGTCCATGTAGGGCAGGAGGGAGGGGAAGTGGATGGGTCAAACAGAACTGTACTTTCATCCAGAAGGTCAGAGCTCATGTCCTGTGTGAAACCAAAACTCACTCAGTACGTTTACATGACACGAGAAAAGATTGATTTATTGTGAAAGTCCGACGAAAACCAGGCTTTTAAAATACATGTAAACATGTTAGTCCGACTAAAATTGTACTTAATAGAATTTCTCAAAGTCAGACTAAAACACCTATACAATGCAACTGTGAGTCAAATCACTCCTGCATGTACAGTATACAGTCAATTGGACCCAAACTGGCCGAGGCACTCCGCACATGCTCCCCAGTTTCCGCCCCTGGCTTTGACCTGGAAGTTGAATAGCATTAAATGCGTAACAGAAGAAGAAGCCAGTAACAACATGGAGATATCTACATCCAGGCGTACATTTTTTAAAAGTTGTCTACCATTGTCCCGGTTTGCTGTTAGCTAACCATAGCTAACTTTTTTGTTTGGTCTGTGATGCAATAGGTCAACTGGAAAAAGGTCCAATACTAACAAGCTGAAAGGGGTCATATCGCCACCCATGGTAGAAGAGTCGGACATACTTCAGTCAATAAATTGACTCCCCTCCCGTGCTTGCATACTGGGACAAGGACAGTGGTCCGATTAAATGGCCTAGTTGAGCTATAACTGTAGCTCGACTTAACTGTGCATGTAAACACACAGATTATTGTTTTAACATAACATTCTGCAATCAAAATACAGTCTTTTCTCTAACAGGGCAGTCCAGCAGCAATCTATCAGTGCTGTATATTACATTTATATAACCACAATACCAACAATTTTAATTCAGCTCCAGCACTATTATATTAAATTACTTAAGTTGTTACAGAAAAAGAAAAGATCATATTATATATCTGCATTTACTTGGCGCCTGCTCCCTGCAGGTATTTTGTTGATGAAACTGTGTTAAGGGTTTATATTCACTAAATTAAGTGCATTTAATATAAAAGACCAACTTATTTAAACAATTGAATCACTTTTTTTCAAATTGAGGACTTTTGGGTGATGATGTCATAAAGAAAATTAATTTGAATGTAACACTAATGAGATTTCCTACAGCCCTATTTCTTGGTGAAACAGCAGTGTACACAAGTGAGTTCTCATAATAATTACTATCTCGTATCACATATTAAAACATTTAGGAAAAGGATTTAACATCTTTTGAATTTTTTTAAATTCAATTTTTGGATATGTTTAAAGCAATGTTTTGAGCTCTTGCTGATTGAAAGAAAGAACATAAGCACTATTTTCTGACTCTACTGTAAATGATTAATTGAGAAAATAATTTTTTAGATGAATCAATCATGAAAATAAGTGGCGTGAAATGGGGTTTCTGAAGCTATTCGACCATCAGACGAGCAGCTCTGATGAATATTTTAAGGTTTTCTTATATTCAGACAGCCAAGATGTAAGGAGATGTGTTTTACCTGCTTGACAGTTTCGACTGAGACTCCAGTCTTCCTCAGAAGCATCATCCGACGTGCTGCTGATGAAACTGGTGCTCCTGGTGTCTGTGGGCATATAGTTGCAAGAGGATGCAAACAGTATGAAGCTTTTGATGTTGGTCCAGCTGCTCTGCTGATCCTCTTAGAAAGTTTCTCATCTGCCTTCCACATCACTGCTATTTCTGAGCATTACTGTTTTAGGTCCTGGTGGGAAGGATGCTTTCATAATGTAAACAAACAAATTTTAGGCATGCAGCAAATGTTTTTACCCAGAAAAATACTTGAATATTGGAGCTACTATCGGTCAGCTGCCCTCCACTCCACACTTTTTCTAAGAAAGGTTTAATGAGGACTACACTGGAAACAACAGATCTTATCATGTCTGATTATTTCCTGCTACAAATAGGATAAAACATTTGGGAAAAACAGGAGTCATGATTGAGTGTTGCTTGTCTGACACATGATCTGCTGCTGACAGTGTTTGTTTTGATCTCCAGCCTCTCTACGGTCTGCTACAAGCTAAACTACAGCTCATTACACAAGCCTACTTTGAGGAGAAAGACTTCTCTCAGATCTCTATTTTAAAGGTGAGAATAAAGCTGTCTGTCAATGTTTCACTTTTCTGTGATCGCCTCCTCTTACCTTCCTGTTTCCTCCTCCGACCCTGCAGGAACTGTACGACCACATGAACGGCTCTCTGAGGGGCTCGGCTCTGGAGGGATCACAGGTTTATCTGGGTGGGTCAGACTCTCATTTCTCTAAACATTTCGGACATAGAGAACAGTTGCATGTCACAGCTTGCAGGATGAGCTGCATACTTGTGTCACAAATGCAAATAATAGTGAACTTAAATCCACCTTTATGAACTCAGGAAAGCTTTAGGAAAATGACAAATGGATGCAAATGCGTGTCATTTTGTGCAAAATATTAGTAAATCTGTTGCTATATATGAATAGAACTTAATATATCCTAAAATGCTCACTAGAGGAGTAAAATGATTTAACAGCAACTCAGAAACATTGATACTGAATTGTTTTGTTGCTCCAGAGATGCAGATATTCCCATGTTTTCATGTCTAAGTGACTAATTGGAACAACAATTTTTGCATTTGGTCCAGTAATGAGAGAGAGCGCTGCAGCCAGCAGTGGTTGAACAGGCTGCAATGTAATCACAAAGGGCATATTCGCACCATCACTTTACATCCACTTAACTTGTTTGTTTTTGCCACTGACAGGATCTGACTGTTATTTTAAGTGTTTGACAACATTATGGAGAGGCAAACCCACCAGACTCCATTTAAAACAAAAGCAGTAATTTTATCAATGTAAAAGCACACTTCATTGAAAGTCGACAGAAACAAAATACAACTCACAAAAGCTATCTTGGCTCATCTTTCCACTGTTCCAACAATCACCAACTTTGGTTTGGTCAAAATAAACCTTAAATTCACCCAGTTAGATGTGAAAATATTCTGGCTCTATACAGGCAAAAAATACTGTTTTTTTAAATGGAGTTTGGTGGCTGTGGCAGTGGCGATTTCAGGGCTGTTTCTGGTTAAACAAAAAGGTCTATCTCTGTAGGGACCCTTCCTATATTACTGTCAGGCACCTTAAAAAATAATTTTACCCAGTCAGTGGCAAAAACAAGCATTTTTAGTGGACGTACATTGACAGTGTTAAAATGCCCAGAGTGGTTATACTGAAGCCTGTGACACTGACAGACTCTAATTATTTTTGTATGTGTCCCACAACATTATGGGAAGGATCCCTACAGAGATAGACTGTTTTTTTTTTTGAAGAGTAGGATCCTTTTTGTGTATTTAAAAACAGGGGTGTATAGTGCCAGAATATTTTCATGTCTAACTGGGTGAATTAAGGGTTTATTTCAATCAAACCTGAGTTTGATATTATTGGAACAGCGGAAAGATTAACCAAGATGGCTTTTGTGAGTTTTAGAATGTTTCCGTTGACCTTGAATAAAGTTTATTTTATGATGATAAAATCAATGTTATTTTAAATGGAGTCTGGTCCCATTAGTCACTTGGATACAAAAACATGGGGAAATAGGGTCCAGGTTGAAAAATACAGAACTTGCTGGTTAACTGCAAAAAACGTGTTCATGCATTTTTATCCGAGAGTAAATTTATTCATTGCTGATGCTCTGTTTGTTCTTTCTCCTCAGGGTTATCACCAAGAGATTTAATACTGCACTTTCGACACAAGGTAGAGAATTACAGACTGAACAATAATGTGAAGCTGTAAAATGTGTCTGCTTGTAATTTATTGGTTGTTAGGGGTTTTTTGAAATATAAATGATTTTTTAATTTTATCTTCATAGGTTGTCATCCTCTTCAAGCTTATTCTGCTGGAGAAGAAGGTACAATCGGAAACAAATCTTTTCTTTCTTCTCTATAGCAATGCAGAACTGTTGAAAAATGACGCTGCACAGTATGTCTGTTTTGATTTTTTTTCTTTGTTTGTTTATGATTGCAGGTCCTGTTCTATGTGTCTCCTGTCAACAGACTAGTCGGAGCTTTGATGACAGTTTTATCGCTGTTTCCAGGTCAGGAACTCCAATAGATCTTCTCTCCTCCTGCATGTTAAATCAGGCTGTTGTAAGGATGGGGCACAGGCATTTTAAATGTATCTGCACAGATGTAAAAAGGACACAAAGCAGGCTCTGGATTGACACAGAACAGCCTTAAAAATTTACGTTAATGTGCAAATTGGCAAATCATTATCAGGTTGAAAAAGGTAGTTTTAAAAAATGGAAAAATATGTTGTTGAGTAGTGTGGCTCTGTCAGCAGGTGTGCAAGATGTGTATCTATGTGAATAATCCTAAACACAAACAAACGTCTTGATATAACATTTTGGAAAAAGAGAAAAACATTTGAAGCAATAGAAGAGTGTACAGAGAGAGTATAACATAAGCACAAAACTCATAAAAGCAAATGGACAATAATGACACTAATGTCATTTACTGCTTATAAACTGAAGTTTTCGTTGGTAAAATTAAGAACTTGTTACTTCTTAAAACATCTCATAATCTTGCTGGAAAAATCAGGACATGTAGGAACATGTAGAAACCTGCAACATGTCCAACAGACAACTAGTAGACAGTAAACTGGATTATTGGTGATTAGGGAGGCTGAAATGAAGTGTTTCATTGATCTGGTTTGTGTAGGTATGATCGAGCATGGCCTGGTGGACTCATCCCACTACAGGCCAAAGAGCAGCTTGTCGGAGGACATCACTCTGGTCGAAAGCGTCTCAGGAGCAGAGGAGTTCGTCTCTGTGTCTGTCACCGACATCGCCAACACTACACTCGAGGCAGAGGAGACTGCCCAGCCCGCTGCAGAGTCTCTGTCCTCTGGGAACAGCACAGAGGGGGACAGTCATCTCCTCAAACCTCCGTCACGCACCTCTCCAGAGTCCTCAGAGAGCGACTGGGAGACTCTGGATCCCAGCGTGTTGGAAGAAAGTCCCAAAGAGGCAGCAGAGGGGAAGGAGACGGAGCTACGGGATGCCTTCGACTCCAAGCCGGGGACGCCCATCACTGTGCAGCCACAGTCCGCCATCGGTCAGGGAGGCATCGTCCAAGGTCTGGTGTCTGGTCTGGAGGAGGATCAGTATGGGCTACCTCTCCCCATCTTCACTAAGGTAACACACAGACTGTGAGACACTCGCTGGGTCATTCCTTCTCAAATCAGATAGAGCTTTTGTTTACATTTCAGAGTTAGACAGTAAATACTATTTTAGACCAAAAAAAAAAAAAATCCTTAATTTTCACAATTGCTTATTTTTTTTTGCTCCCGTGAATATTTATTTCTAAAAAGGTCAAAGGCAGGACGCCATTTTCAGGGTTCAGCACCTTGAGACATATAACTCCTAGAGCCATGAAATTTAGTTAGGGCACAGAGAAGCAGTGTACAGCACAATCCGAGTGACAGAAAGGCACAGGTAACATGGAGGCACCTTGTAAAGTTACATACAAAGTGCCCACATATAGACCTCGTCTCAGAAATTGTCAAGATCCTCGGAATCAGTCTACATCAGCATTTTGACATCTCAAAAAGGCAACAACCTTGGCTTGTTATACTTGCCATATATCGGATTCTGTTCATGTTAGCTCCCCTGAAATTTATTATTACATCTATCAAACACTGTATTTTGGGCTGGAAAAAATGAAACATCTGTATGTATACTTTGGGAGACTGCCTGGGGCCTGAAAACCACCCGTTCTGCACGTTTTTCCCCAATTTTCAAGGGCCAGTAATGCAAACTATGACATGTAGTTGTGCTTCTCAATCATTTGGATCTATTATACACCACTTTGTCTGTGCTACTACCAAATTTCATTAGGAGTGAATGTCTGAAAATGCAGAACCCTAAAAATCACTTAAATTTTTTTAAAGGGGAACTAATGTTTTTTTCAACCTGGGCCCTATTTTCTGATCTACTTTTGTCTAAATGAGTGATAGGATGTTCAATATTTGACATTTCTCCAGTACGAAGCTCGGGCTGACCTGCCTGCAGCCCGTGAGCGCACGCTATATTAAATAATAGGGCACTCGGACAGCGTCAAACAATGTCAAAATACGTCCACTAAAAGTGCATTTTTTTCACACAGATAGGCTCGGATTGTTAGTATAATTATCTGACAACATAACGGAAAGGAGAAATGAACGTCTGTGTTTACCTTTAGCTGGATTCGGACATGTTCCTCTGCCTGTTGCTGCTTCCTCTCTCCCCTCGTGTGCTCTTTAGTTTCAGTGAGGTCTGCATCTGTGTACGTCCGTGTACTCCGTGTTCAAATAAATACGGGCGGTGATCAAATTCAAACGACTCATCCAGATCCGGTTGGTCAAAATCGGGTAAAAATTTGGACGTGTTTGTTGTGACAAATCTAAACACTCACTCGCCCATATTTATTTGAACACGGAGTACACGGACGGACAAGGACGTAGAGCTCATTGAAATTGAAGAAAAAAAACATCAGTTCCCCTTTAAGGTACAAGAATGACAAAATTCTAAGGGGGTTAAAACATTATGCAATCCTCTAATTTCAGCAAAAACATTCAACAGAATGGAGTGTATCCTAAAAAGTTAACAAATATAAAAGATAAAAAATAGATTCAATATAAATAAAAATGTCCAAATTTTAAATTTTATTGAATATATATACAGTACAGGACAAAAGTTTGGACACACCTTCTCATTCAATGCGTTTTCTTTATTTTCATGACTATTTACATTGTAGATTCTCACTGAAGGCATCAAAACTATGAATGAACACATGTGGAGTTATGTACTTAACAAAAAAAGGTGAAATAACTGAAAACATGTTTTATATTCTAGTTTCTTCAAAATAGCCACCCTTTGCTCTGATTACTGCTTTGCACACTCTTGGCATTCTCTCCATGAGCTTCAAGAGGTAGTCACCTGAAATGGTTTTCCAACAGTCTTGAAGGAGTTCCCAGAGGTGTTTAGCACTTGTTGGCCCCTTTGCCTTCACTCTGCGGTCCAGCTCACCCCAAACCATCTCGATTGGGTTCAGGTCCGGTGACTGTGGAGGCCAGGTCATCTGCCGCAGCACTCCATCACTCTCCTTCTTGGTCAAATAGCCCTTACACAGCCTGGAGGTGTGTTTGGGGTCATTGTCCTGTTGAAAAATAAATGATCGTCCAACTAAACGCAAACCGGATGGGATGGCATGTCGCTGCAGGATGCTGTGGTAGCCATGCTGGTTCAGTGTGCCTTCAATTTTGAATAAATCCCCAACAGTGTCACCAGCAAAACACCCCCACACCATCACACCTCCTCCTCCATGCTTCACAGTGGGAACCAGGCATGTGGAATCCATCCGTTCACCTTTTCTGCGTCTCACAAAGACACGGCGGTTGGAACCAAAGATCTCAAATTTGGACTCATCAGACCAAAGCACAGATTTCCACTGGTCTAATGTCCATTCCTTGTGTTTCTTGGCCCAAACAAATCTCTTCTGCTTGTTGCCTCTCCTTAGCAGTGGTTTCCTAGCAGCTATTTGACCATGAAGGCCTGATTGGCGCAGTCTCCTCTTAACAGTTGTTCTAGAGATGGGTCTGCTGCTAGAACTCTGTGTGGCATTCATCTGGTCTCTGATCTGAGCTGCTGTTAACTTGCGATTTCTGAGGCTGGTGACTCGGATGAACTTATCCTCAGAAGCAGAGGTGACTCTTGGTCTTCCTTTCCTGGGTCGGTCCTCATGTGTGCCAGTTTCGTTGTAGCGCTTGATGGTTTTTGCGACTCCACTTGGGGACACATTTAAAGTTTTTGCAATTTTCCGGACTGACTGACCTTCATTTCTTAAAGTAATGATGGCCACTCGTTTTTCTTTAGTTAGCTGATTGGTTCTTGCCATAATATGAATTTTAACAGTTGTCCAATAGGGCTGTCGGCTGTGTATTAACCTGACTTCTGCACAACACAACTGATGGTCCCAACCCCATTGATAAAGCAAGAAATTCCACTAATTAACCCTGATAAGGCACACCTGTGAAGTGGAAACCATTTCAGGTGACTACCTCTTGAAGCTCATGGAGAGAATGCCAAGAGTGTGCAAAGCAGTAATCAGAGCAAAGGGTGGCTATTTTGAAGAAACTAGAATATAAAACATGTTTTCAGTTATTTCACCTTTTTTTGTTAAGTACATAACTCCACATGTGTTCATTCATAGTTTTGATGCCTTCAGTGAGAATCTACAATGTAAATAGTCATGAAAATAAAGAAAACGCATTGAATGAGAAGGTGTGTCCAAACTTTTGGCCTGTACTGTATAAAATAATTAATATAAAACAAAATAAGATAAAATATGATAGAATAAAATAAAGCACATCATGTGAAATAGTAAATACATGGAGTTTGGACCAAATCTAAAATGTAAACAAAAACCTGTATGTTATTTGACACAGGATGACCCCTGGTGTAATTCAAATGAAAGGCATGTTTCACTCAAGCTGAAAATACTGTAAAACCAGTTGTATTCCAGTGACACCAATAAAATAGATGCTTTAAACTGGAAAGTGAAAAGTACGGACAGATCCATCATGCTTAGCTGGAGCTGCATGGATCGATAATAAGATCTGTTGTAGTTTAATTTATTTGACATTATGAGCTAAGGGACATCACACACATCTATAAATGTCAAGGTCCAAGACTCATTTCCTTTGTGATGGAATATTGTGTGTGTGCTGGTGTATGTGTGTGTGTGTGTGTGTGTGTGTGTGGGAAACCAACTGCCATTTTTATTTATTGTTACTTCTCGTATTACTTTTGGCAGGATTTTGCCCAAAAATAACGACCTGCATGTCAATGGGCTGCAGATATATTTCCAAACGGCTATGAAATGACATAATATTTACATCCTAAACATCTATAGATTTTATTTTGGAGTATCAGTAGTTTTTTTCTCAACTTTAGTAACTTAAAGAAGTGCTAGACTTTTGTTTAATTTTGTATTATTTTCTAAATTTAACTTTTAAATGGTGAAAGGCTTATTATTATGTTTCTGTCCACGTTTGGAGCTGATAAAAGATCAATATTAGTTTATAAGTAACCTATGAAATCGTGCTCATCAAATAATCAGCCATGTGTGTTTTGGGTTCAGCAGGATATCAGTCCAGATTTAACACTCAGTGTGTGACAGCCGTACAGAAAGTGACCTTTGCCTTCTGTTGCCAGGGTTACCTGTGTCTGCCATACATGGCCCTGCAACAGCATCACCTCCTGTCAGACGTGACGGTGCGTGGCTTCGTTGCTGGGGCGACCAACATCCTCTTCCGCCAGCAGAGGCACCTCAGTGATGCAATCATCGAGGTGAGTCCTGCATGTATGAAAGATCTGATTTGAATGGAAGACTGTAATAATTGTGGGCTTGAATTAAACTTGAAAGTTTTTTTAAAAATATACTGTGTGTTTTGTGTCGAAGGTGGAAGAAGCTATCATTAACATCCAGGACCCCGAGCTCCGGAAGATCCTGAGTCTGACGACGGCGGACCTGCGTTTCGCAGACTATCTGGTCAAACACGTGACGGAGAACCGTGATGATGTTTTCCTGGATGGGACTGGGTGGGAGGGTGGAGACGAGTGGATCAGAGCCCAGTTCACCCTCTACCTGCACTCCTTACTGTCGTCAGCATTACAGCAAGGTAGGAATGCCCAGGCAGTAGCTCCGTTACCAACCATACATACATATACATATATAGTTATTTTTTACTTCAACTACTGGAAAAGCATTGATTTTGTTTTTCTGAACATGCAGCTCACCAACTTCTTATACTAATAACTCATCTTCATTATGGCATTATGATGTGGAGCTGCAATCATTGCGTCACACACACACACACGTAATCCACTTTGCAGAGAAAATAACAGTAAATCCAGTTAATGCTGCTAATCATGTTCACTGACTCCAAGCGTCTCTTTTGTTTCTCTTTGTTTCTCGTGTCGTCTCCGTTCAGATAACGAGAGGCTGCTTGCTGATTACGGCGCTCATTTCATCGCAGCCTGGAGGATCACCCACAACTACCGGGTGTGGTACAGCAACAAGCACCCTGCCATGGCTGCCATCACTCCAGGGTAGGTGGACAGCAAGGACACCGACATCTGCCCGAAAAACATCACACCTTCAATAGAAACGTCAGTTCGGCTGGGACCTTAAAAGTATTTAGGTTCAATACCCAACAACAACAAGAGTTGGGAAACGAATGTCACCTGTTTTAGGTGACATTTGTTTTTAGGTGATGATATAGATGTGCTGAAAGGCTGGAAAAGCAAATGTATTGGTGTTTAAAACAAAAACTCCACGTTATGCTGTTGCAAAAACAGTTTTTATTGCCCATAATGTGATATTTACTACTGTTGAGAATCATTTTTAGAATTAGGGGTGTAGTGGTAGTAGTAGTTTCCAGTCTTCAACTAATGTCCCTTTAAATTAGCACATGTGTGCAAACGTTTTAAAAACACAAAAGCCAGGGTTCGTGCATTTTTTGTTCAGTGGGAAAGATACTTAAAAAAAATGTATGAAAATTAACACAATGGAATAAAAACTTGTAGGTGATCCTGACCTCTGTTCTCTGTCGTAGACACCCGTTTCAGGGCCAGTACAGTGTTGCTGACGTGAAACTACGACTCTCACAGTGAGTACTTTTTCATTCCTCTCTCATTCTTTCATCTTCTGCTATGTGTATTACATCAACTTCATAATTCACTGTATAGGAAATCTGAGTTTTGAGTACAACTCATGGGCATGAAACACTGCAACTCTAACACTCAGAACTTCAGAATGAACATGTAAAACATAAATAATGGACAAGATAGCTGCAGTGCCGAGTCAGCAACAGAGCTGTGACCTAATTTTATCCTTTTCAAACTTTAGGACCGACTCTCTGCAGTAGCTCAGCTAATGTACTGCTCACCAAAACATGTGTGCTGCTGCCCTCATGTGGTAACAAGATGACACTGCAAAGAAGAGGTTGAGCAATTTAACAGGATGCGGATTTCACTCCAGTGTCCTTCTCCTTAAAAAAAGACTTAAAATTAACTATAAAATCTTTAAATTAGTTGTATATTCAGCGCGTTTTTCAACCATAAATTTAAACTCAACCATAAATCTAAACTTTAAACTAAACTCAGTATTTTATTTTTTTTAATTTATTTTATATATACTTTATTAATCCCCGAGGGGAAATTCAATTTTTCACTCTGTTGTCAATTACACACAGGTCCGAACACACACATGCACAAACAGGACCTATACATGCACTAAGTGGAGAGATGTCAGAGTGGGCTGCCCATGACAGGCGCTCCGAGCGGTTTGGGGGTTTGGTGCCTTACTCAGGGGCACCTCGGCAGTGCCCAGGAGGTGAACTGGCACCTCTCCAGCTACCAGTCCACGCTCCATATTTTGGTCCAGACGGGAACTTGAGCAGGCGACCCTCCGGTTCCCAACCCAAGTCCCTATGGATTGAGCTACTGCCGCCCCTTTGCTCTTAAGTCAAGTTTATACAGCACATTTCATTGGAGGATGAGGACTCAATGTGCTTCAAAATAAAAGCAGAAAAAATAGGTAAAGATCGTACATAACAAAAACATGTAAGAACACATATGATAAGAAAGCATTATATAGGCTACATAAAAACATAAAAGAAAAGGTAAAAACCTAGCATAAAAGGGATTGCAATGAAAAAGGAAAGACACTTGTGCTTTTACTTTGAAGGAGAGATTTTCCCCATTACAGCACTTTTTTGCAACACTTAAACATCTATTAAAATGTAAACAGTATTGTTTAACATTATTTTCTGCTGATTCATGCACACAAAGTATTATTGTGAGGTCAAGAATGAAGCAAACAAATGAGTTGTTGTCCTCTTCCTGACACTGATTAGGCTCCATACTTCCTGAAAATTAAAGGATCACTCCAAGATAGCGGACTAGAGGAAAATCTATACTGGGAAAAACATAAAGAACATATATGTGGACTGGATATACCAGTAAATTCTCAACATGTAAGGGGCCTGAGCTTAGGGCAGTAGATACATAACTGCTGCTGTGTTGTCGTAACTCTTTTTAGACCACAAATGATTAAATTTCCAAACGTCACGCTCAGTGCCCTCTAACACCCAGCTGTGAATACAGTATGTTACAGAGAGCAGCAGGCAGTGTGTTACTTCATGCTGTGTTCGCGGGTGGATATCGTGGCTCACTTGTCAGAGTGGTTGAAGGTGGGGGGTGGTGGGGTGCAGGGCGGGGCAGGGGGGTCTTGTATCAGCTGAAGTCATTAATTATGAGCGAGTTTCATTCTCAAAAACAGAACTGGAGACTTCTTTAGCTTCAGCTCTGGTTTCATTCCAGGAAGTGTGGATGAAAGGTGACTCTGTCCACAGCTGGAGCGCCGCTTCTAAGGTTACGCGTCAGATAAATGCCCCCACTACACACACACACACACACAGCTGAGTGTGTTTCCATCCCTAACTTAGCTTTATGATGAGAACTTGGGCAGATCTGCTTGGCTGCGATACTCGGCGCTCTCACTTTACCTTCGGGTGTTTGGTGACATGGTCGCCGCGAACTTTGTCGTAGATCGTCAGTAAACAAACACACACACACAAATAAAGTGGGTTAAGTGTAGTTTATTTGTGCAACATTTAAATCAGTAATGGAAGAAAAGGCAAAATTTTGTTTTAAGTATTATGATTAAAAAGCCAAAAATGAGCCACATGAAGCAAAAAAGAACAAAAAGACATAAATGAAGAGAAGTTATTTCAGAATATTAAATAAGATCTTATCATATTAATAGTGATGTAACCAGAGATGAAAGCTGTGACATTTAAAATGAAACGATTCAGTCACAATTCAATTAACAATTAAAAAGCCTGACAATATCAATCGACAATTCAATTAACTGTTTAATGCTGCAACAGATTTTTTTCAGATATGTAATATCTGATAAAATGTAATTCAAAGGTCTCAGCACAAGAGATTACTTCAAGAAATAATACAAGATACTGCAGAACAGTAATACGCATGTCAATATTATAAACATAATATAGGACATTAGGAAGAAAAGAAAGGAAGGATGGAAGGAATGGAGTGAGGCAAGAAAGAAGGATGAAAGTAAAGAATAAAGAAAGTAAAGAAAGAGGTGAGGGAGAAAGGAAGGAAGCAAGCAAAGAAGGATGGACATGAGGAAGAAAAGAAGGATGGATGGAAGAACTAGATAAGAATGGACAGAGGGAAGGAAGGAAGGCAGGAAGAAAGATGGACTGAAGGGAAGAGGTAAAGAAGGATGGATGAGATGAAAGAAGGAAGGACATAAAGAATAAAGGAGGGATGGATGAAAGCAAAGATGGACAGATAGAAGGAAAGAGAAAGAAGGAAGGCAGCAAAGAAGGGTGGATGCGGTAAAGGAAGGAAGTAAAGAATGAAGGAAGCACTGATTAAAGAAAGGGAAGAATGGAGGGAAGGAAGGAGGGAGGGATAGATCAAAGAAAGGAAGGAATGAAGGAAGGATGGACAGAAGCAAGAAGGATGGATGGAAGGAAAAAGGAAGAAGGTTAAGAATAAAGGAAGAAAAGATTAAACAGTGGAAGCAAAGGAGGGATAGAAAGAAGAAAGGAAGGAAAGAAGGACATATGGAAGGAAGGAAGGAAAGCAGCAAAGAAGGATAAATGGAAGAAAAGATGGAAGGATGTAAAAAATAAAGGAAGGACAGATAAAAGTAAGAAAGCAAAGATGGAAGGACAGAAGGAAAAAAAGGAGGAAGAAAGGCAGCAAGGAGGATCGATGGCAGGAAAAAAGGATGGATGGAAAGAAAAAAGGGAGGAGGTAAACAGTAAAAGAAGAACAGATGGAAGAAAGGAAGCAAAGAAGGATGCACAGAAGGATAAGGAAAGACGGGAAGATGGATGGAAGGAAGCAAAGAAGGATTGCTGGCAGGAAAGATGGAAGAAAGTAAAGAATAGAGAGGAGAAAGGAAAGAAGGAAGCAAGAAGGATAGATGAAAGAAAAAAAGGAAGGAGGTAAACAGTAAAGGAAGAACAGATGGAAGAACATAAGGAAAAGGAAAGAAGGGAAGATGGAAGGAAGGAAGCAAAGAAGGATGTAAGGGAGGAAGTAAAGTTAAAAGGAAAGAAGGAAGCAAAGGAAGAAGTAAAGAAAGAAGGAGGGATGGAAGGAAAGTAGGAAAAAAGGAAGTAAAGAAGACTTTGCAGGTTTTCTACGATAATAAAGTGAATGTCACTGAGGGCTCGAGGCTCCTTTTTATACTTTTTTCTGACCTTTTATGGACCAAATGATTAATTAAGACAAAATGAGCGGATAAATCAATAATGAATAGAATCAATAGTTCCAGCCTTAACTGTGTTTTTATGGTACACGTTAGAAAATGTGGAAACAAGCGTTGACACACACACACTGAACCTGGAGGTTGAGAGACGGGATTCTTCTGAGCAGATCTGAAATGTGGTGACCGGGTCAGAGCTGCCTCCTCCATGGTGTGTTCATGGAGCAGGAAGGGGGTGAAGGGGCATGGCTGGCTCTCCGCTCCCCTCACTGCACTATAAAACTCTGGATGAAGCCGGTATGGCAGTGGTAGGGGGGTGACGAGGGGGGTGTGCAGGCAGGAAGTTTGGCACTCGGCCAAACGGAGTCTTCTCAGGAATAAACACATCTCATTTCCTGCCTCAGCTTTGTGTCAGAGTGAGGCTCTGAAACAGGAGGGGATTCAGCTGGTCTGGAAAAGTGTGTGCGTGTGTTTGTGTGTTTGTGAGGTTTTCCTACACGTGTTCTCGAAGTGGAGACGACAGATAAACAGCTCAGTCTCCATTGCGACCTTGGACATCAGAGAGTGTTTATTGACTGTCAGAAGCTTTGGGCGTCGCACACTTACATCTCCAAAGGATGTTGAAATCCTCCTCCTGGACCCGCACGAAAAACTAAAACCAGTTAATAAACCAAAGGAAATGCTAAATCAATTATGAAGATGCCTCTAATCAGTCAGGAACAGCAGAAAGCTTTCACTTTATTTCAGTGTCTTGCTCCTTTAAAAAGATTACATGGAGAGTTCCCATGAAACCTCTAAATTAGTTGTAAATCCAGTGTATTTCAATAATTAATTTTAACTTTATTCAGTCTTTTAAGACCATTTTGCTCAGTGTTTACTCTTAGACCCCTGTGCTTTTACTTTGAAGGAGACATTTTGCTTGTTACAGCACTCTTCTGAAACTTCTAAACTTCTGTAAAATGTTAACATTATTTTAACATTATGTTTCATCGACTTGCGCTCACATATTTAAGAGCAAGAATTAAAGGAGCTGTATGAGACATTCAGAGCATATCTATGATTCAGAGCCTGAGCTGCGATTGCCTGCACATGGCTCTGAACATGGACTAGGCTAAGCTGGCAGCTAGCAGCTAATGGTGCTAACAGCACAAACAAGGCTAACAACAGTGCTGACAGAGCTAACAGTGTGAACTAGGGATGTCAGTTTCTTAACTGTTAACTGTTGTCCCTAGTGTCCCTCCACCTACTGGAGGGTAGGTGTTATGCTTCGACAGGCTGTTCTGCCAGCGTGGGTAAGGACAGCGTTATGGGCGGTAACCGCAATGCAGAGCGGCGCTAATTAGCTGACCAGTAGGA